TCTGTTGTTTGTCTACTCAACCGAGCTGCAGTGAAATGTTAAACTGAGGGAGGAAAAAACAACAACGTGAAATTATGTAAACGGTGAAGTTTGTATTAGTTTTGGCCTTTCGTCCACACAGAGCCGGAGTTTTGGGTGGGTGAAAATTATGTTTTTTGAGAACAGATTCCAGAGTGGAGAAATCGGACAACGTTGGTGTTGTGTTGTTGTTTGGACGAGCAAACCACAGCTTTTGGAAAACGATGACGTCGCGACCTCGTCATCGTCAGGGTCCTCTGATCCAGCGAAGGTTGCAGCCCTCGAACTGGCCTCCACTCACCCCAAGACCTTTGCCAAAATGTGACAGGTGTAGCCCACGGAGCCGGTCCTGTCGCCCAGCAACCGAGACACGCTGCTAACGCCGATATTTACCAACACACACCACAGATTCCACACACAGATCAATTACAAAGATTACACACGGATAATGAAACTGTTGGATTTTGAGACCAAGTTATTCTAATAATTCTCATCCAAATCCAGTGTTGGGGAGTAACAGATTACATGTACCAGAGTTATGTAATCAGAGTACAAATTATGAGTAACTGTATTCAGCTACAGTTACTGTTTCCATGAGTGGTAATTGGATTACAGTTACTTTGTTGAAATAAATGGATTACACTGCAGCATTTTCCTGCTATATCCCTTTTTTTTTCCCCACAGTAATTCCACTCATTGCCGGAAACTAAACCAGGACTAAATCCGGTCTAAACCAGGACCAAAACAGGATTAAACCAGGAGTAAAACAGGATTAAACCAGGACTAAACCAGGACTAAACCATGGTGTAACTTTCCCAACACTGTCCAAATCTTATGGCTAAAAACAAAAACTTATGTTTAACTTTTGCAAAACAAAACGGCTATATTTCTGGGACACATCAAAAATAGATTAAAGTACTTTTAAGTTTAAAAAACGGTGATGAGATATGCATTATTAAATAATATTATCATTGTTAACAGCGCCACATACAGGCGTGGCACATGTATTACATTGTTTTCGCTCAGTGCTTCGTTGTCGTGTGGATGTGAATATTTATTGATCCATCACGTTTCAACCCACAAAATATAAAGTAAAATAAAATCCAGGAGTGCTGTGGTGTGGATGTAGACTAACTCTTGTGAGCTTCAAGTCGTGTTATAATGTTGTTTCCTCATCAAAAACAGACTTGGAGTTGTGTTTCATTCACACATGTTTGAGAAATCCTGGTTTATTAGTCTGTCTACATCTCCAAAACACCAAATGCTCCTCCACCTTGGGATGTCATGAAGCGGTAGTTTCCAAGTTAACAACGACCCTTTACCTTTTGTTTAGTGGTGAATGTGTGAATGAAACAAAACAGAACAAAACTCCAGGTCTGTTTGTGACGAGGAAACAACAGCACAAGACAATCCAGAAAATGGGGTAATATGGGCCCTTTAAGGTTAATGTACAGTACTGGTCAAAAGTTTTAGAACACCGTAATTTTTCCACTTATTTATTGCAATTCAAGTCGTGTAAGTCCAATGAAGAGCTTGAAATGGTACAAAGGTAAAATCTGAACAGCCAGAAGTTAAAGAAAAAAGAAAAAAGATACGAAACACAAGTCCAAGCTCTGCCAAAACTACCTCAGAAAAAAAGAACAAGATGGTAAAACTTGAAAACATGGAGTGTCCAGACTTAAACCCCATGGAGCTGGTTTGGGATGAACTGGACAGAAGAGTGAAGCAACCTACAAGTGCCACACATTTATGGAAACGTCTGCAACAGACTTGGGAAGAACTTTCTGAAGAATATTTGATTTCTGTTGTGAAAAGAACGAGCCACGAGTGTGTTCAGCTGTTCTATCTGCCAAAGGTGGACACTTTCATGAATCAAAAGTTTAGAATACTGGTCTGGAGAAAGTGTGGTGCTCTAAAACTTTTAACCAGTAGTGTATGTTTTATTGTTACAGTAGGAAAATCTGTCCTCTACATTTGACCCATCGTTCAATCACACTGGGGCGTTTTGTCAGGAGCTTTGTCAGTTTTGTCTCCAGACCTTGAACTGGTCTTGGTCAGGACCTTAGCTCGAAGATTTGACCTCCAGCTTTACCTTGATCTTACCTTGGCCATTATAATTATGAAACTAACCAAAACCTGTTTCAAAATGTCATGTATTTGGTCTAAAAGATACTGTACACCTTAAAGGGACTTAACTAGAATGTGTAAATCTGTACCCTCGTCGAAAAGGCTGGAGACAAATGAGTTTCTAGTCTGAATGTGTCTCTCATGGAGTCGTGTCTTGTCTCTCGTGCTGCGTCACAAATCAGAATACAGTTGTCTCTCCGCGGCGCGCACGGAGGAGCCGCGCTGAGGAAATGGGCGCAGTGTGAGGGCACTTCCCTGGCGCTTCGTATTGTTTATCAAACGGGATCAGAGCAGCTTCAAAGCGGCGCAGATAAATGGAGCCGAGGCTGCAGGGCTCCGGTCTCTATAGAGCCGCCGCAGCGATAAGGACACAAGCGCAGCGCTGCGCTCTTATCTGCATTGTCATAAAACTAAACGATCAGTTTAGCGCCATTGTCCCGGCTCCGCTGCATGCTGGGAGCGCTCATTGGAGGGAGGGGCCCTGTCTGTCTGTGGTTACCTGGCCATTTCTGCGGCTCACCCCTCCTCATGTTAACAAAAAAGATATTAATGTTTTATTACGCCTTTGACACCCGGAGGGCAAAGGTGTGACGAACTTTCAGTCCATTTGAGGATTATTTGGGCCTTTTCTCTGGTCTGTTTGCTCGCTGACAGTTTTCACAGCTCCACTCGCAGCTTGTTTTAACAGATTTGCATGTGAAGGGCTCGACAATCAGCCGTAATTGTGTTGCCACTGTAATACCTTTGATCTGTAATGTTTGAAGCGCGGTGCCAAACGCTGCCTCTGGGACACTGGCGCCAGGGCTCCGCGGGGCTCCTGCTCCTACCTGCGCTCCACAGTCATCACTTTAAAATACTGACACTGGCTAAAGGATACGGCCTGAAACTGTTAACAAAATGCATTCACAACGTTATTTGCTGCGTAATTGACGTCAAATTGACCACAGCAGTGATCACGTGTTTCATGACGACTGTTTCTATCTACACCAAGACTAAAGTGGACTAGTATTTAAACACGGGCTGTGTGTTGTCTCAGAGAATACTTCCTTTCATAAGTTCTTGAGCTTTTCATTTTCAAAAGGCTTAAAACGTGCAGATAACAGTTGCTTTGCTTGAGTAAAATAATCACACACATTGATTTCTATTGATTGAATTGTGTTCTATCTAAATGACGTTTCCCTCTGATTATTGGCTAAACAATCAAACTGGTTTCACTGGTCAAATTGCACCATTATCTTCCAGGAAAAATACACCAGTGGCAGAAGTATCAGTGGGTTTGGGGAGGAGCTGGTTCTGTAACTAATTATTTTCATTTCAACATTAAAATCTGCTGTGGGTCTTTCTTTGTTCCTCGTATGTGTCTTCTTATGAGCTTGCATTTTGTTTGTCTCAAAATCAAGTTGTCCATTTTGCTTAAAACATATTCACACTGTCACATCCCTGTTTATAAGTACATGTGTTCTACTTCATCATTTCATTTTGCTTATTAAAACTGCAGGAAAATTACCAACAAAACATTTAAAAATCAAGTTGTCCAGATGTTTGTGAAACCACTGGGTTAAAGATGCTTAAACTCTATTGAACTTCTCTGCCTCTTATGTCTTCAAAATAGCTTACACCATCTGTCCAGGTGAAAAATGATGACTCTGGAGCGTTTACAGAAATATTGAGTCGCGTTAAATAAACCAAATACAATACAAGACATGCTCAAACTTTATTTAAATGCTAAAGGTTCTATATTATACACAACTGTCTCTTGTGTTTTGTTTCATTCACATTTTTGAGTAATCCTTTATTGTTAAGTTCAAAATGCTTTCTTCCACCTTGTAACTAAGACATTTTATTGATCCACAAGGGAAATTATTTGGAAAATGAATCAGTGATGTCATGAAGTGGTAGTTTTGTTCTGTTTGTTTTGTTTGTTTACTTTTAGTTCAGTAAAGAAAGGCAATTCCAGGGCTGATTCCAGTGAAGGTGCCTGGAGTTACAAAAAACTATCTGTACTTCACTGTATTTATCTTAACATGCACTTTTAGGATTTCCAAAAAGCTGTAGACAAAAGATAATCCTAAATAAGATTATGATTTGGATAAAAGTTGAATGTGCACTGCAGAAAACAAAATCTAGACAAGTTAAGATGACTTGAATTAAAAACGTTTTATCATGATTTGAGTCGATTTCACTTGACAAGTAAAATTATTTAAGAGTTTTTGTAGTTAAAATATGAAAATACATCTTGCTAGACTTAAAATAAGAATCTTTTTGCACTTAAAATGAGAAACAAAATCGAATGTTGCTTGAATTTGAATTAACATGCTCAGTTCCAATGCGGAAAAGAGAAGAACTCGACCTAAATAAATTTTGTGCGATAAACTTGTGTGAATGAAACAAACCACAACTACCAGGTACATTTTTGATGAGGAAACAGCATTACAACCGAAAAATGATGTAATATGTGTCCGTTAATCCCTAAATAAAAGCGAAACTCCGCCCTGCTCTCTGCGTGGGCCCGTTTTGCGAGCCTCACACCTGGATGCAGAGGCCGAGCGCATCCAGATGAAAGCAACATCTGCAGCCTGGCCCGTCTCCTCTCCTCTCCAGACATGCATGAGCTCGGGACGGTTCTCACAGACTCAGTGGCGCCAGCGCTTCACACACTCACAGGATATGTAAAGACATCAATAACGAGCCATTAAGAGCTGCTCGTGGGGATCGATCAGGCGTTAACAAGCGCGCCCTTTACATATGCAAACGAGCCGCTCAGGGGGGGGGGCACTTGGGACGGTATAAAAACCCCACGCACAGGCCCGGGGAGGACACTTCACTCTTGCTTTACTGGATTTACAACCGCAAACATGGTCAAATTCTTCTCTGTGGACTGGCTCGCTCAAAGCCACTACGGCAACGAGGCGCGGACTCAGCCTGAGGAAAGCGAAGAAGATAAAACTTTTAAACCACACGTCCCCTGCATGGTGCAACCGTCTGCTCCTTCGTACGGGAGAGGATACCTGCAGCCAAAACCCAAAATTGCAAAGCTTGTGGATTCAGAGATCTGCAGTGAGTCTGGCCTTTCCTCTCCCCGGTCATCCTGCGCCTCGCCGAGTAAGTTTACTTTCTGCTCAGCTGTCCAACTCTTCTATTTCGCACACTTTCTTCACATTCCCAGTGTTTTAACCAGCATTTCTGTCTGTAGTTTCAGAAACAAGCGAGTATTCCTCAGGCTACGAAAGCGAGGCGGCGTCTTCAGAGTTTTCAGCTTCGGATGACGTCGGTGAAGTCGAGAAAGACGCACAGAACCAGCGCCGCGTACGCACCAAGTTCACCCCGGAGCAGATCAACAAACTGGAGAAGATCTTCCTCAAACACAAGTATCTGGACGCGGGGGAGCGAGTCAAGACTGCTCAGAAGCTTAACCTCACAGAAACGCAGGTAAGAATCACAAAAGAAGCGCTTGGAGAGCTTTTACGCACGTTTTACGCACGCTTTACGCATTGCAATGACTTTATGGATTTGGTTATTAACGTTTTCTCTCATTATCCCAGGTGAGGACGTGGTTCCAGAACAGGCGTATGAAGCTCAAACGGGAGGTCCAGGACTATCTCACCCCTCAGGTCCCACCCATGCTCCTTCACGCGTTCCCCCCGGCGCTGCAGTACCAGAGGCCGCACTTCGCTCACCCGTACACGGCCACGCCCTCTCCGGCCCCGGGCTTCTACCCTCTGCCCGTCCCCCGCCTGCAGCAGCAGCACCACCACCACCACCACCAGCCAATGATGATCCAACACCCACACTTCTACTGAACCAAAGAACTTTCAAAATAATGGACAATTTCCCAAAGAGACACTTAACTTTGACTGTGCAATATAAATATTTGTATTTAATATATTTGTACATACAGAGAGTTGTAGAGTCTATTTATAATTGAATAAAGTTTAATGTTCTTAAGTGTGAACTATGTGATACTTGTGTCATTGGTTTGAGATCGTCACGTGACCTAAATGCTCTGGTAGGGAGTAAAACACTTGTATTTATTTTATTATATAATCACGTGATATCTAAAGCGGACATGTCAAACTAAGGCCCCGGGGCCAAACTTGGGCTGCACTATAATTGGCCTGCCAGACCAAATGTATTAGAGCTGCCCACCGGGTACAGATAGACTATAGAGACATTATTTATTACCTCCGCCAAGGAGGTTATGTTTTGCCGGCGTTTGTCTGTTTGTTTGTTTGTTTGTTTGTCTGTTAGCAACATAACTCAAAAAGTTATGGACCGATTTTGATGAAATTTTCAGGATTTGTTGGAAATGTGAAAAGGAAGAAGTGATTTCATTTTGGGGGTGATCCGGAAGAAATCCTGGATTCTGGATCACTTTCAAATTTTTGTTAACATTGTGGTAAATGGGGCCAAAAATTTTGTTTCTCAATATCTCAGTTAATTATTGACCAAACCCCATGAAATTTGACTCAGGGATGGACAATGGGATCCTCTTTCATATTCCAAAGGCTGATCCGGATCTGATCCAGAAAAAATGGGGGTAGTCCTTGGCGGAGGTCTGCGCTCTCTGAGTGCTTTTCTAGTTTAAAATGTTATAATTTTATGTTATGCTTGTTCTGGATTCAATGACTACTATATTAAACATTTATTTTAATAAGAAAGAAGCATTACATATCTCGAAAGAAGAGAAAACATGTGATGGTCAGAGGGGCAGATGGCACTGATTGGCAGCCTCACTTCCGTCAGTCAGGGCAGCTGTGGCTACAGTAGTAACTTACCACCACCAAGTGTGGAATGAATGAACAATGAATTGTAAAGCGCTTTGGGTATTATCATCATCATCATCTTTATTCCAGACTCATGGTCCATTTTTAAAACAGACAAGGACAGTGACATTACAAAACAATAAACATTTATGTTTTTAAAAGACAACCACACCAGTGTCTCCACATGTTGGACTTAGATCTTATTGCACTCACAATGAATTTGTGAGTGACATTATTATTTCATTGTCCGATTTGTTCAGTCTGCAGATAAAACTGTATTTTGAAAGGTGCTATTTAATTGCAATGATTAATTAATTAATTAATTAATTATGTCATTAGGTTCTTTTTTCAGACCTAGAATTTTGTTTCATACCTGTTGTTTCAGACCTGACCGCTAGTGAGCAAAACAAAACTCTTGGTCTGCAAAAAGAACCTAATAACATAAAATATCGGAAGACCAAATGGATCTCATTGGACTAATTAAATATACATCACAAGTTAAATGAGTGTTGAATTCACAAATATGCATCAAATCAGCTCATAGTATGATTTTTTTATTTTTTATTTTTATTAATTACTGTTTTGTTAAATGTCTTTGAATGTGTCGAATATCCAACATCAAACCAATTCAACCGCGGTCTTGGCGCGCATGTGCAGTTCATAGTACTTATCTTAGGACCTTATTTTGCTCGTTTGCTCAAAAGCTGCAGAATTAATATGATAGTGAAAGAAAATACTGGTCGTTTCAAATGAATGAAGTCAGATTTGCATGAGGCTGAACTTCTTCACGTCTTCAACTTACAGCCGGTGGAGACAGGGACTTTTACGCACGCCGATCTGGATCAACAAAAGCGATTCAATACAAATAAAAATAAAGGTGCACTTCTGAAATCTCTTATCACGGATCACTGTATGGATTTCGCATTGATCCCACTGTTTTCTCGGATCATATTAAGATTATCACTAAACTATCACGACGAGAGCGCGCAGACAGAGCGCAGCCGCGTCCCATCCGTGCGCTGGGCTTTTCAAGTGCCTTGTTTGTCCTCCCCTCCCTCTCGCTCACTTCAAACGCGGCCTAACGGACAACAATTAGTCCTAATTAAGTCGATCAGTGATGAGTTTACACTTGGGCCGCGGGGGGTTCTCCGGCCTGGCTCCACGCAGTCTGGGTCTTTGTGTGCGCACTGTCCCCGGTCTGGATCGAGCCTCAGGTGGAGCTCTGTGATGTGATCAGAGCGGGAGATAGTCAGGAGGATCAGCCACAGCGTCGGGCTTTGTAGTGTTAACAAGAAGCAGTTATTAGTGTACTTACAGGCTTCTCTCTGTATACAGGAATTTCACTCATTTGCAGGATCAGATCAGTGGAGTGATTACAGTGTGGGCCAAACGAGACTTCAAAACAAAGTAGAAAACCAATACTTTTGACCGTTGTTTGATATTTACACAGGGTTCAACCAGTTTAGTGGCATTTCTACTTATCATAAAGAACAGAAAGTTACTGAAGAAACACTAGGCGGGTCTCCCTTTATTGTTATTTGCCAAAACTCCAACTTACATGAGTGAAATTAGTTTTAAAAAGCACTTTATGTTAGAAACCAATTTGATAAAAGAGCTAAACTATCTACTGTACTCAACTGTATTTATCTTAACATGTACTTTTAGGAATTCAAAAAGCTGCAGGCAAAGTATAATCCTAAATAAAGTTATGATTTGGATAAAAGATTAATGTGGGCTGCAAAAAAAAACAAAATACAACACTTATTCCATTGGAAGATTTTTGTTTTATGTTATTTCATTTCGTTTCATTTTATAGCCCTGGTTTAGCCCTGGTTTAGTCCTGGTTCATTTCTGGTTCAGACCTGATTTAGACCTGGTTTAGACTTGGTTTAGTCCTGGTTAGTCCTATTTTCATCCTGATTTAATCCTGTTTTAGCCCTGGTTTAGTCCTGGTTTTGGCCTGATTCAGTCCTGATTTAAATGTGGCTCACTCCTGGTTTAGCCCTTGTTTAGACCTGGTTTAGTACTGGCTAAGTCCTGGTTTAGACCTGGTTTAGTCTTGGTTTAGTCCTGGTTTAGGCCTGATTCAGTCCTGGTTTAAAACTGGTTCACTCCTGGTTTAGTCCTGTTTTCATCCTGGTTTAGTCCTGGTTCAGACCTGGTTTACCTTGAGTGAAATTTAACACCGTATTTGGCATAATCGGATTTTGCCAAATACTCTGTCTTGTCAACTCAAGTCAACAGTGACACCGAGTTGGTTAAAACATTTCTGTCACCTCTGTTCTCCGGCTCTCCATCTTTACATTTGATTTGATATTTGATCGACAAACAGCTCCGGGCCATGACTCTCTCCCTCCCTCCTCCCCCTTCCCTCCCGCAGCAAATGTCTCGTTAAAACGGGTCAACAGAGATCAAAGCAGCTCTTCTCACTTTCTGTCTGTGGTCGCACCCAAACTCTGTGATCATAACAAAAGCTTCATCATCATCCGTGCGTTTGGATGCGCAGACACACGGGCGCTCCAGGCCTCGAACTTTACGCACCGCTCCAAAATTGCCAAAGTCGATAAGCTGATGCATTTACCGATGATATAATTAACCACAGAGCGACTTTTATCAGTTGTGTGTCTAATATTTCTCCTCGTGCCGATGTGTGGATGATCCTTTTACGCGTAAACGACGGGAGATGCCAGGTTACTGATACTCAGACTGAGAGGCGCCGCGTCTCCGGGACCCGCCAGCAAGGTGAGAAAACCCACGACCTCACCTCTATTAAGCCCAATTACTACGACCATCAAGTTTCTATCGTTCCGCTGACATGTCCACGCATATGCAAATGGGGACCCGCGTCCGAGCTATAAATGGGGACAAGAGCCGGTGCCAAGGGTCGACACTAAACAAACGCGGAGGACTTTTACGCACGAACGCGTAGCTGCGCAGAGGACTTTTACGCACGGACACGTAGCTGCAGAATGGCGAAGTTTACGATCGAGTGGCTTTCCCAGAGCTTCTACAGCACGCAGGGAAGCGCAAAGGTGGACGCACTCGAGCCAGAAGTGTCAGATTTTACGAAAGAAGCGACCAGCGAGTTTACCCCAGCTTCTCCAAACAGTAAGTTCAGTTTGCGCGTCTTTTTTTTTTTCGCTTTCAAAAATGTTTAATCTGGTTCGTATTGATGTTGGAAATGGATAAACTGACTAATAATGAGTTGTTGTTGTTTTTTTTTTTTTTCCAGATAGTTGCGGCTACACCTCTGCTTCTGAAGGAGAGGACAGCGAGGGCGAGGCCGGGCGCAGGGTCCGGACTAAGTTCAGCTCGGACCAGATCCGTAAACTGGAAGGCACCTTCAGTAAACACCGGTACTTGGGCGCGTCTCAGAGGAAGAAGATCGCGGAGAAGCTCAATCTGTCCGAAACTCAAGTCAAGACGTGGTTTCAGAACAGGAGGATGAAGCTGAAGCGCGAGGTGCAGGACATGCGCACGGAGTTCTTGGCTGTTCCCGCCGCGCTGCTCCCGCCCGTGATGCTTCAGCACCACGCGCTCTCCGGACAGCTCCCCGAGGTCAGCAGAAGCGTGTACCCGCTTCAGGAGGCGCGCAGGACGGTCACACATCCAGCCCTGCCCCGGCATCATCATCACCATCATCATCAGCATCATCATCACCCCTACCACCCGTACCCCGCGCTCCAGACTCTCCCCACGCGCCAGATGATCCCAGCTTTTTATTAAAACAAGGATCCAGGACTGAAATGAAGAACTTTATCTAGAATCTAGATGTATCTCTGCTCGATTTTTGGTAGAGCTGTAAATTATTGATTAACTAAGCACTATGTTTATATTGATTAAATGTTCAATAAAACGAAACAACAAAATCACAACTGTTGCTTCTCTTTTCTGTCATTGTAAAGATGCTGCTCATGTTTAAGAAGAAATGAATTAACTTTGCTTCACTTTTTTATTAATATTAAGCATGTTTCATGTTAGTTAGTAGTTAGTAAAATCTCAGAAAACCATAATTTCAGTTTACCAAAGTTCAAACA